TAAGGTGCCTGACGGGTGTAGGTGTGAGAGTGCGGGCGTCAGGAGACACGTGGGTGTAAGACTAGGTAATATGTAGGTATGGAAGCCAAATGACTGGTGTGTGTAGATGTGCGTGCGTCAGCCAGGATCCGGGCGGTGGTCAGTCAGGAGTCAGGCGGATGTGGACTGGAGACGTCAGACGACGTTTTATGTCTTCACCAGCGGATGAAGACGTAAGACGTCGGTAGGTGTAATGCCTGTCGGACTGTTTGTGTAAGGAGAGTCGGGCGGGTATGGGACTGTGGGAGTAAGACGTCAGTAGGTGTAACTGCCTGCCGAAGTGTAGTCTGTGTAGGCGAGACGAGTCGGGCGAGTGTGGGCGTGCGGACGTCGGCGGCGGGTGGGAGCCTGCAGCGGCACTGCGCTGCTGGAACTCATCAGAGAGGTAAACCATCAGGCAAACACTGCACGGCCCGCGGTAAACTGTCTGTCACTGGAACAATCAGCACGGCCACCGCTCCGGGAAACCGAGCTAAATCGACGCTGATCCAAACAGCCCAAACGACCGATCGCCGATCGCTGACGACGGCCGTCGGCGGCGGCGTGACGGCGGCCAGATCAACCCCCCCCCCCCTCCCCACAGCGGCGGAGGCGGACTGCGCAATAGCCTGCCGTGACTCACTCTCCCAGGATCGTGGGACTTTGATATCGCCCATATGCACGTAGATCAAACGACCCGGTCCCAAATGCCCTACGCCGTCTGATTTAGATTTCTATTTTTGGTCATTTTACGTCCACCCTCGTTTCCGCTTGCCTTGTTCCATTTAAGCCCGTTTCCCACTTGTAGGTATAGATCTTTTACACCCCGTGCAAAGTTGTATTCCATTAGCCCTGTTATATATTTTCTATCATTTATTCAATTCACACCCCGCAGTGTCAGGCTAACCTGCCCTAAATATCCCCAGCTTCACGTTCACAGTTTCTGTCAATTTCGAATCTATTCGCCTGTCATCCGTTCAGAAACCGTTGCCTTTGCCTAGTCCTTTTACAGGATGCCAGGCGTTATGATGGAGAGTAACTTGTTTATAAAGGTGTTCAAAGTTCGTCTACATAAGATCCGAAGAGAAGGTGTCCCAAAAACCGTCAGCATAACAAATGCAAATCATATACAAAATGCCTTTCCAAACTAAAAATTATCATTCAGTCATAAGTCATCTATGATCTCACCAAACTTAGCCTAGCCTAACCACGCCGCGTATTAAACGGGGCTGTTGCAAGCTCAGCTTTACCTGCCATTTGAAGGCACAATTGCTTATTTGCTTGGCTCAAAAGTTTGGAAAACTTATCAAAGTCGCTGACAATTCTTTCAAGTCCAAAAACTTTGAGCGACAAAACATACTCTCCGAAGCTTAAGTTCCATTGTATTGAAAATGAGCGTCGAAAGCACAAGCTGAACGTTATTCAAGTTCACGACCCTCCCCAACCGAGAAATTACTGAAAAACCGTCAGCAGTGTCCGAGACACATTGGTGTGGGATACCAAGATACCTATCGAATAACCCCTTCAAAGCCCATTCAAACAAATAATTCCAAATTTGGCGAGCACGGCTAACAGTTTCTCTCTCCGAGACGTGTCCGCATATCAAAACAATAATACGCCACTCTCAAACAACTCATCTTATGTCACGCCGACCTCCCACAACTCATAACCGTGGCGCCATCTTTCTAACAATCCCGCAGGCCCTCCCTCTCTCCCTCCTCATCTTCAGCACACCTTCCCGAATTCACTCTCCTCCTTAGAACTTCACCTTCCTGGGCGTTCTGGTGGCGGGCGCGGCGGAGACAGCCATCGTCTGCGTCTCCCTAAAGTCGTGCTTGTAGTCTTCCTCCAGTGGCCCGTCGCCGATGGTCGCCAGTCGCGGCGCGGTGGCCGCCGCCTCCTCCTCTCGGCGCTCCGGGCAGTCATCGGCCAGGTGGTCGCGGCGCTGGCACACCTTGCACGAGCCGCCCTTCGGGTAGACGCCGTTGGGGTTGAGTGCGCAGTCGCGCGACAGGTGGCCAGTCTGGCCGCAGACGAAGCAGACGGCGTAGGGCAGTTTGCCGCCGTCGGAAGGCCGCCGACACTCTGACAGACGGTGCTCGGTAGAGCCACAGCGGAAACAGAGGCCCGTCACCGGAGCCTTCAGGCCCGGAGCGCGGTTCGGACAGTCGCCGATGAGGTGGCCCGGCTGACGGCAGCCCAGACACACCTGCCGGAGGAGGGGAGAGTCAGATGACGGTGAGTGGGGAGGGGGAGATACCGAATAGGCGCCATATACCGAACACAATTGATCGAAGAACGCACAGACGCGAGTAACACGCAACGCACTGAACAGTAAATAACTCCACTTATGTACTTCCCGGGATGGCACCTGAACTATACCTATCCACACTTATCTTTTAGTAAAAAGTCCCACCCAGGGCTATATGCCTCATGTCCACTCACCCGCTTAGCGTCTCGTTTGCGTTTCATCTCCTCGCGTCGGCGGGCCGTCTTCATCGTCTGCTTGAGGACCATCTCGGAGACGCGCTGCAGCTTCAGCTGGCGGCGCAGCTCCTTGAGCCGGCCCACGGCGTCCGCCGTCATCCAGACGCCGTCAAACTTCACCATCCGCTCCTCCCGCGGTGCGCCGCCGCCGGGGTTTCGCACGTCCGCCACTGTTCGGCGCTTCGCCGGCGGAGAGCGCTCCTCACCAGGCGTGTCCGCCTCGCCGTCACTCGCGTCGTCCTTGTCTTCCTCAGCGTCAGACCCCTGGGCAACATCAGCATGGTCTCCGCCATCCTCGTCGTCGTTTTCGGCCGCGTCGTCTTGGAGCCGAGCGGCGGCGGAGGTGGGCTTTCGGGCACCACGGGCCGCCAGCTGCGAGAGCAGCAGTCGGTGCTCGGCACGTTTGCGTTTCTTCATCTCGCGTTTGAGCGTCTGCGGGTCGGAGATGGAGGCTGCCAGCTCGGCGCGTATCCGCTCCAGACGCGGCACGGCACGCCGGCGCACCCAGTAGCCCTCGAACTGGGTCATCAGTGGACCCTCGGCCAGCAGAGGGGGACCGGAGGCCGCCGCCGGCAGCTTCTGCTGCCACTTCTGCTTCTGTGGCTTCTTGTTCTTGTTTTTCACAGGTAAATTACCGATGTTTTTAGACATCGGCTGTGCATCCGATGTCTCTTCTGCTGAGAAATCATCTCCATTTTGTTCATCTTTCATGATAGGAGGCTTCACCATGTCACCATCTTTTATGACATGTTTCTTCTTCTCTTTGTGCATGTTGGCATCTTGATTTTTCCTTTTCTTTCCTTTAGTTGGCGACTTAACATCATCTTCCCCTTGCAGATTGACATCAGGAACTTTTCCTTCACTATCTCCTTCCAAATCAACTGATGTGGCAGCAATCATGTTCAAATGCTTCTTCTTTTTCTTTTTTGCACCCTGAGATTTCTGTTCTTTCACTTCCTTATTTTGATAATTTTCCATGTTCACTTTGGGTGACTCAGCTTCCATTGAGTCATCTGCATCAGATTTGCTGGAATAGTCAACATCATCCGAGAATTCTTGTGGCAGACTCAGACGCTTTGCATCTATCTTTTTCCCCTTTTTCTTGCCAGTGGATGCTGTCCTGAAGTGATCTAGCTGAGCTGACAACTTTCCCTTGGCTTTCTTGCCACTACCTTTCAGAGTTGCCACAGGTTTTTTGACAACAGAGGCATTTGAATTGGCACCAGCAGCTGCAGCCGAGTGTTTCTCAGCTGATGGAGGTGCCATTTCTGACCATGGCGTAGCATCTAATGGAGGCTTCTTGATGCCTTTCGTTGAGTACCGAGCAAACCGAGTCATTGCTCAAGCTGAAATGAAAGAACAGTTCACATAAATTATTGTCGGACACAAAAATGAAAAATGCAACTTTTTACCATATTACATTTACACAATGATTTTGACAAAACCACTCATTTTAACAAAATTGACTACCTACCTACCAATAGCCTCTTCAACTCATGTCAATGAACCTAGTTACAAATCATGCGTTCTGCGGGGTAAAATGAAATGAAGCTGAGCAACAAAATAATTTGAGAGCAAGGCCGTATATAAGCTTGAGAGAGATTATTAATAACAGTAACCTTCTTTTTAAAAACGTACCTTTGCCCTGCAATCTTCACAGACGACGCACGTGCGCACTGCGCGTGCTCCACCTGCGAGCAAAATATGTCGCTAGAGCGCCAAGAAGCGCAAATATGGAAGCATTGCACTAATTGCTACCAAATCCCTAAATCCCTTCAGCTCCCCCTATTCCGCCGTCGCCAAGCCGACGGTGCTGGATCGATGAGCGAAACACCTTCTATATACCCTGGAAACACCCACCACCAAAACCTCATCCCAGACCCTAGAAACGTTATCAAATATCAGTACTGTTGGCTTCACTGGAAAGGGGGATTAAGAAGACAAGCCTCGGTAAGTAATTAGAGTAGTCGGTCGCCAGACGCCAGGCATGAACTGTAAAGTTTTTGAAAGGCTTGTTGATGTTCGCAGTTCGACTTTCAAAGAGGCTTCGTATTTTTTTTTTCCGGATGGCGTTATTTCCCTCGCCATCCGAATCAGGAAGTCGACAATACAATGAAAAATCCGCAAATGCCTACGTGAACTTTTTCGAACATCTCGATCTCGGCTTACATCTGCTGAAACAATTCGCACTCCTTGCGGTGTTTCCAGACGCGACTGTGAGGTATGGAGGAGCCGTACCCGTTCGCGGCGCTGCAGCTGCTGCTCACCTCCTACCGGCTGAAGCGGTGGCTGCACCTGGACGACGAGCCGCCGCCGCCGCTGCCGGACGGCTGTGAGGACGTGGACGTGGGTCAGGTCCAGGAGCTGGTCGAAACGGGCCTGCTGGACGGCCTGCTGCCCCACCTGACGGAGGTGCTCGGCTCGCGTCCGTCGCCCGCTCCGGCGCCGGCCGCCGGCCGGCCGCGGGAGCGGGGTCCGGGCCGCGGCCGGCGGCGGGACCGTGACCGCGATCAGCGCCGGGAGTTCAGCCTGGCCGAGCAGGACGTCATCATCACCATCCAGGTGCAGGACGACGCGCAGCGGCGCTGCCAGGAGTTCAGCTGCGCCAAGCAGGCGCTGCTGGAGCACATGCCGTACTTCCGTGACGTGGTGCGTGGTCAACAACTGGAGAACGTCGACATCACCATCCACTGCGAGCTGGCGGTGTTCGGCTGGCTAATGCGCTGGCTGGAGAGCCGCTCGGCGGACGCCGCGCCGCCGGAGCTCTCCGCCGACGTGGTGGTGTCCGTGCTCAGCTCGGCCGACTTTCTGCGCATGGAGCCACTCGTGGACGAGTGTGTGGCGTTCATCGGAGCTGACCTGTCGGCGGTGGCCGGTCGGCCGGGCGTGGCCTGCCTGAGTGACCGGCTGATGGCACGTCTGGCCGCCCTGTTCGACCACCGCAGCGTCGAGGCGCTGTCCGAGCACGAGCGGCTGCGCAGCCGGCTCTACTGCCAGCTGACCGCGAGGCTGTGCGGCGCACGACCGCGGCCCGCCGGAGCCCACCAGCGCACCGCAGCGCAGCTGTTCCGCTGTGCCGACTGCGGCCGACTTCTTCTACCAGAGGTAGCAGCTTACATACCCTGCGCAGCGCGTAACCTAGCCGTCTGCGCCGACGGCCGCGTGGCATACCGGCACCGCCGCGATACCGACTGGCAGCTGGGCGCCCACGTGGCCCAACTGCGGCGCCAGCTGCGCTCCTGGCGGCTCGTCTACTGGCGTCTGTGGGCGGCCGTGAACTTCCTCTGGTGCGCCCGCTGTGAGGCGCCGTTCGCCGCCGCCTACCTGGCCGGCTGTCGGTTCCACCCGGAGCCGGCGCGTTACGGCACGCTCGGCCGGTCGGCGTCCACCCCTCTCGGCCACCACCCGTGCTGCGGGGGTACGGCCGTCCAGTTCGACCCACTCCGGCTGCGCGGGAGTGCTGGGTGCCTCCTCCGCGACCACCTGGTGCAGCCGGCGCCGGACGCCGCGCTGCGAGCTGATGATGGTGTGTATGAGGATCTGCTGGAGCACCGCTCGCTGGCTGTCGAACCGCCGCCGGCTGCCGGGGCTGAGGGGGCGGTGGAGGGAGGAGGAGACGCCGCCCCGCTGCGCGCTCAGACTGAGCTGCAACTGGTGCCGTCTGGGGTCAGCGGCGGTGGCGACTGCGGCCTGCTGCCTGCCACGCTGCGGCCCAGGGAGGGCGAGGCTGCCGCCGCAGCTACACCACAGCGCTCCATATCGCTGGACTCGGCCGACTTCACCGCTTCAGATGACGAGGAAGAGGGTGCTCCTCCGCCGGAACCGGCGGCCGGGGCGGGGGCGGGGGCGGCGCGGCCGCGAACCGCCCAGCTGTGGCGGCGGCGCGGCGGCGAGCGGCCAGAGCCAGCGCCGCCGCCGCCGCCCGCCGTCTGGACCCCGGCCGCCTCGACTCGTCACAACCAGGACGCCCAGCGACACCGTGAGACCGGCGAGCTGCGGCGGCTGGCCGACCAGCTCAGCGGCAGGCAGGCCGGCTGGCGCGCGCGGCGCGGACTCGCCGCTGCCGGGTCGTTCCTGGTGATAGAGCGCGAGCTGCGGGCCTCGGCAGAGCCGCCGGCGTCCGACGGCCGACACCGGAGAGGAAGGAGGAAATAGTGCTGCGGGTACCTGTCCGCAGGTCAGAGGTAGCTAGAGTCGGGAGATCTTCGAAAAGTCACGACCCAGTCAGGTGCACCATTCAATATGAGCTCGCTTGTAGCGAGATAATAGGTATGGGCGCCTGTCTCGTTGCACTCAATGCGCAGTACGGATTAAATACACCAATAACGCACAACCTGTTCGCAGATTACCTAATTAACGGTAGAAACGATTGACAAACAAACTGATCAATAACAAAGACCATATATTAAAAATGTAAGATAACTAGGCTTCATAATATCGACTATGTAGAAAACAAATGCACCTGACAAGCTGAGATAATATGCACATAGACAGCACGACACTTGGCATGCTTCACAGCTCAACAAACCATTTCATATGGCAGCACCACTTCAGCTATGCACTTTTAGCGGTCAGAGCTGCCCGAACAGCACATCATCGTCATCATTAAACATGGCGTCGATCTCGGCCGCAGAAATGGTATCCGGTTTGTGTTTGGCGGCCGCTGGGGGCGGCGGCGCGGCGGGGGCGGGGGCGGGGGCGGCCGGTCTGGAGAACAGCCGGAGAGCGGGGGAGGCTGCCGCCGCCGCCCGGGGTGGGTGTCCCGACCCGGAGGTCAGGGGAGAGGTCGCGGTAGGTCGACTGGCGGCCGGCGCTGAGCGCAGGGCGGGGGACGCCGAGTTTGCACCTCCACTACTGCCACCACCGGTTCGCTGTGGGGTGGAATAGGGCGCTGGTCGGCCTCTGGAGGAACCCCCGCCACCTCTGCCGCGCCATGAGCGGCCACCGCGGCCCCGCCAGCCGCGGCCGCCGCCGCTGCCGCCGCCGGACAGCTGAGGGGTCGGGTACAGCTGCGGCCGAGGCGGGGACGGCGGAGGAGACTCCTGGAGTACGGCCACCTCTGGCGGCTCCTCCACGAGCCGAGCGGACGCCAGCTCGGCCTCACTGAGCTCGGACAACTGACGGCAGAGGGCGAAGGACTGTTACCGACCACGTCAACTTGGTGGGAATGGGTTTACGAGTACACATATTGGAACAAGACACAAATCGCTGAGGAAATCTGCCCGATAGCAGCTGATAAACAAAAAGCATCTATATCAGAAACCAGAAAACGAAATATAATCTAATTAACATATCCAACTTTCACCAGCCAAAAGTAAACGGTAACCGTTTCAAAGTAAAGCTCATATGTCACAGGCTCCTGAATCTATAATTCCACTGCGTATTCCGTACCGACACCCCTGCCTCCCCTACCACCTACCCGGACGACGGGCGCGGGCTCGGCCCCGGCCGGCGTCTCCGGTGCGAGGTAGACCAGACTGCGACGGGTCACACTCAGATAGAGCCGCCGCGCCGACTCCCGCCACACGACCACGTCACGAAGCAGTAGTGCGCAGCCCGGCCGCAGCGCGGCGCCACCGTGCTCAAACGCGTCCTTGGCTACGGTTCCCTCCATTTGACCTGCCGGGTAGGCGAGGACGGATACAGTCATCACCCGTACTTCTGACTGCATGCTAAGATCTAGCAGTGATCTTCAAATACGGGCAGGGTCTCAGAAAAACACGCCCCAAATGCAGAAGTGTTACCATTTGTCGAATTCAGCGATCTATGACGATGAGCAGCTGTTCCATTTTTGAAAATATGTTGTCACTTGCCGAGTGTTCCATTTCTATGCACATAAGATAGCATCCTCTCTAGATCTGTTCAAGTAACTACAGACGCTTCTCGATACAAACAGCTCTCGATGTTTGTAAATAGATTCACAAGGATGCCCTAATTGCCTGAATAAGCATTCTCCCCGGCGATCCAAATCACCAGCTACCGACGTTCTCCCTTCAACCGGCCGGTCCAATAGTCGCCCCCCCCCCCCACACACACACACTAACCAGTGGGGTCGCGGAAGGTGGCCTGGTAGCTGAGGTCCGAGGTGGGCTCCAGGCTGTGCAGCACGGCCGCCAGTAGGGGCACCTTGCGCAGCTGGTTAGCGGCCGCCGCGCGGCGCACCGCGCCCAGGTTAATGCGGCGCGGCAGGCCGTCGGCGTCGGCCGGCGAGAGTCGCAGCTCGGCCAGTAGTCGGCGCCACGGCCCGGCCTCCCAGGCGGCAGTGTCCTCCGGCTGCGAGAGCTGACTCTGAGCGGAGGACGTGGAGAGCGGTGAGCGTCGGCGAGTTGTGAGATAGGGTAAAGACGCCGCAGTGTAGGATAACAAAGGTTATGCAGGAAAGCGTACTAAAAATGCGAAACAAAAGGCTGATCATTGAACGCATTTGGGCTTATCGTCCTTACTTCACATTAACGGTAGAAGCTCAAGTCGGACCTTATTGATCGTGGCTGGTGTTATTTCCACCAGTGGAATAGCGAACGACACATGCAACTTCGTACACAACGTTTTCCTCAACAACGGGCAATATAACATGCATACTGCATAGTGCATACGTAATTAAAGCTAAACCACACACCAATACAAAAATGTCCGAGTCTGCCAGTCTCTCACGAGTTCACCAAAGTGACTACAGACGGCCTCGCACCCGCTCACCTCCGAGACCGGGTCATGCAGGGTGGGGTCATCGTCCTCCCCAGCGGCGATCGGGTCATCGTCCTGGAGACTGACCTCGTGCGCCAGTGTCAGCAGAGAGCCCTGTAACAACCGCCACAGCTGGTCAATACTGACACCGTATTATGGTCAGCAGGGAGCCCTGTAACGATTACAGGTCAGGTATAGCACCTCATGGGATCAGCAGGGAGCCCTGAAACGATTACAGGTTAGTTACAGTGCCACAGTGGAATCACCAGGGACTCGGCCTATAGCAACACAACAGGTCAATAATGGCTCACAGAGGTCACAGACAACGGACACAAGAGGTCAGTCGTTGTTCGCGAGCAGGCCGGGTGCTGCCACCGCGGCAACCGTGACCAAAGCCATGAACGAGAAATTACATTCACTAAAACGCAGTTCACACTTGCCCGTAAGGTCTGCCGGTGACGGGCCCGACACCGTCAAAACGGCCGAAACTGACGGAGCGACGGCCGTCAGGTCGACGGGCATGTGTGAACCGGCGGCGTTCGACGGCCGGCAACAGCTGACTGCGCCGGCGCCGGACCTGACGGCCGTCGCTTTGGAAAGTTCAGCAATGTTCAACTTTTGACGGTGACGGGCCCGTCGGTTTGAATGTCTGCGTGTTGGAGGAAGAGGAAAAGGAACGTTATCATGCAGCATGAAGCTTATATGCATTTTTAGGATCATTTATACCATTTTCCATCCATTTGTTGAGATGAAAGTATTTATTACGGCACGATATCTTGAGATTCGATCCCTGATTTAAATCAACGAACCGATTTGTCTTTCATTTAAATAAAGTTGCAGCATTATTTGACATAAAAATGTAAATGCGTGGTAATTTATTTCTGTAATTCAAATAATATTTTAACCTCTCGGCCTCTACCCCCTCCCCCATCCCCTTCCCCCATCTGCGTCAATCTCGAAAATGGTGCGCCATTTCTGTCACAGTATATGGCAGCCAATGGGAGCTACCAAATCTCAACTTTCGTTTGACGGGCTGCAGGCCGTCAGGTCGACGGTGACGGGCCCGACACCGACAGACTGACGGTCATGTGTGAACTGCGTTTAACAGTAACTGTCACGGATCCAAAGAGCTGCAGCAGTTGCTAATCTGAAATGTAATTCCAGAGCTGTGATAACACTAGAAACTATTTTTACATCATCTGCTTTCATTTCCAGGGAGCCACAGAATGTGTCTAAATGTGACAATAACATATGAGCTGGCCATTTGAGCGAATTCGTTTCGCAAGAAATAAAACGATAAAATTTATAGGCGCACCGGAAACATATGATCTGAGCTGTAATTTCACGGATAATTCACATCAGTCTAAGCCAGATAAGCAGAAGCTACGATCTTCATATGCAATTCTCCAACAAGAATGGGGGCGAAATTGCCCTGCGAAAAAAGCAATTGGAATGGGTTAACTATATTTTAACCAAAGAAACCACTTTAACGCTATAATCTACAATCTACTGTGGTGGGTACTGGATAGAATATGCCGGCCAATTGAGTCGACGCCAGCGCAGTCACACCTACCGTCATGGGTAGAATGCCGGCCGGTCCGGGGAAGCGTCTCTTCACTGCCGAGCCCGTCGAGCGCCGCCCACCGGAGCGTGGCACGCCAGACGACCGGCGAGAACCCGCCGGCATGTCACGTGACTCCCGGTCAGGGAGCGTCATGCCGGCCAGAGGTGAGTCACGTGCTCCGTTTCCAGGGAACGCCGACCCAGCGACCGGTGAGTCACCTGATCTCAGGTCAGCTAGTGGACACCGACTGGCTGGTGGGTCACGCGGCGGCGTTTTAGCACCGTTCCGCTTATCTTCCGTGTCACGTGGTGCCTCCCCTATGTCGTCCAGCATGTCACGTGGGCCAGTGGCGGCGCCGCTGGGCAGATCACGTGACTGAGAGCTGACGGCGCCGACGGTCGGGAGGTGGGCGGCCGCAGGAGCCGCCTCGGCCGCCTCACAGGCGTCTAGCAGGTCCGCATCCATTAGATCATCGTCGTCGGCGAACATATCTGCAGTGGACATCTCGGGCGAGGCCGGCGCCGCGGCGGGGGCGGCAGCGGCGGGGGCGGCGGCGGGAGCAGGCCAGGAGGGGAAGGTCGCCGCGCCGGGCCGCAGCCCGAACATCTGGCTGACGCTGACCGAGTCAGGGGTGCAGCTGAAGCCTCCCAGTCCCGGGTCGTCAGGGCGGTCCGGACGGCCGGCGCCGGGAGCCGCCCAGCCGCCGCGCCGCTCGCTGCTGCTGCCGGTAGGAGGGTGAGATGGCATCCGACTTGGAGGCAGGACCTCGTCCAGGAAACCCTGCAAGGTCAGCAAAAGAGGCATTGGCAAAACAGCAGCGAACAAAATAGGGGGAGTATCTGTTTTCACACAAGCAACCCTTTAACTCCCTTTAAATATTTTTTGTCTATAATCACACCATTTACCAACTGCAGTCTGCAAATGTCAATAATAGAAACACCTAACCTCAGCAAAATCAAAATCTTCATCTTCAAAGTTCATTTTCTTGAATTGATGCTCTTCTCAGACAAGATGCTGTGCAATTGAACTACAAATATCTGGAAACAAAATGCAATCATCAGGAAAACAAAGAAAAGGACAGAGATGGTCTGCCTTTGGTGGGAGCAGTGATGGTTCATTGTAATCTGAACCAGTTGTTTTAGCAGAGTTGAGTTGAACAAAATATGGTTCTGATTCACATTAAGGCTAAGCACATCATGCTTTGCCATCCAAGCATCAAAATTTGAATCCTGCCAAAATGCAAATATGCCTGCAAATACCATAGGTAGGTAGCCGGTAGGTAGCTCAAAAGACAGACCCTGCGTTCGATGTCTCTCGGACGACGAAGATTCTACACCGTCCGTCCAATAACATTCCATAACCACAGCCGAGCCCCCACAGACCTTGAACGTGATTGGCCGGACAACGTAATATCTTCGTCGTCCTAGACATCGAACGCGGGGAGTGTCTAGTCTAGAGTGCTGTCTAGTATTAACAAATTAACAATAAAAAAATAACATTTTCTGTGCATGTCACGTTCTCAATTCAACCCAAGTATCAAAACAATCCAAAAAATTATTACAAATGATTAATGGAATCCATCCCAGCTGGCAAATAATAAAATAGCGTGGCCCTCGTGATGGCTTAACACAAACTTGCGCACCAGCAGGCAGTGGGCTTCAGTTTAGTGATCCATGCCATGAAAATACAAAACTTGAGAAAAATAGCATTTTTTTGTAAGTTCCAAGTGACAAGCTGTGTGCGTTAACCAATAATATGTACTATATTTTTAATTGTTCGGTGGAAAACCTTGCAACACGTGCCGAGAATCAAATGTTGGCGCGCATAATCTCAATATACCCTGCGCATAATAAACAACTGCGCTCTCGATCAGCTGGGCTCTGGTATTAACTGGATAATTCGCCAGCTGACGCCGTATGGTGGCGCTAGTGGAGCAGCACCATATGACGTCAGCAGAAAACACCGTGAGCAGCTATGAAATGGGAGCGAGCAGCACGGAAATATCGAAAGGCGATGGACATGTACTGACTTTTGTCATTCAAGTACCACCAACAGCATACAAAAACCATATAATATCATCAAGACTGGTTCTGGAATCGATTCGTTCAGGTATTTAAAACACATACAAAATGCTTGTTACCAAATTCTGAAACAGTATAAGGATATTCTTGTTCCTTACTTTTACCTTGTGGAGTACTTTTACAATACCTTTTACTTGCTTTCTAGTATGCCCATCACTATCTGAGAATCTGGATTGCAACGCTGTAGGAAAACTTTTTTTTCATTTGTCATTTCTTCCACTTTTGAGCAGTGATAATTTATTTGGTTTTATACATTAAATAATGAAGACGGCTCCTAACTTTTAAGGGTTCTGCAGTGGCTCAGAGAGCAAAATCAGATGTTTCCTAGAAACTTGAGGCCACTATTTTCTTATATGCTAGATAATATACAAACATAGACATGTAAATAATGATACGGGTGTATAATTCTGCAGAGATATTAATTCAAAGTATTTAGCATCTTTCAAGAACCTTTCTAAAATATTCCATAATGACTTCTTTCAATACAAGGTGGAAGCAATTTCAGTTAACAATAAAGCAGCACAAGACAGTACCTTGAGCTACGATGATCCATAACCAATCGGCACCTGCAATTTGATCTTCGAGATGTACCCTGCCTCTGTAGTCTGTTCCCTGACTTTCCCTTTTCGTTGTGCCGGGTGAAGTGAATATTCTGTGAATATTCTTCTGACAGTCAGTTTTTAGTCCTACATTATGTTGTCAATCAGATTTAATTGGTTCAAAAACCGTCGTAGTCCGTCTCATTCGCAGTCTACATCTCTACATGCGCACCCATACATGCTCAAAATTTTCACTACGTATGTACTACGTACCCTGCAGCGTACCCTGATGAAAAATGTTTTGTTGAAATCAGAGACACTTCCCAAGGTAGGCCATCGTCCATGGCCATGTATTTAAGTCAAAACAGATGAAACAGATAAACACAATTCCAATCATCAAGTCAACCAGCATCGACAATCTGCACATAAGTTCTAAACCTATTGCAAGACTACTTTGTATTCAAGCTTTGTATTGCAGAAGGGTGAAAGCTGCATGGAATTATGCGACAATTTCAGCGTGCATCCACGCTCGAAAGAGCAGGGTTAATTGTAACAATACCATAATAATAACGTAATTGTAGGTGTTGTGATTCGGTTGTCTCTTGTCTGTGCTGGCCATTGCGCGGGCGGTCCAGCGGCGGAACTCGGCTTCGCCGCCGTGGCGCGCTGGCAGTTGCTCCAGGTGGCGCTCGGCACACCTCGCCAGATGGCGAGCCGGTCTCGAGGTCGCGGGTTGCAGACACTGTCAAGGCGGCGGTTCACGGCCCCGAGCTGCAGGGCGCTGCGCTGCCATGCACTGCTGCATTGGTGTGGCGTTTGAGAGGAATTCGTCTCGACGTTCCAGCGTTGCGAATGTGCGAGTTTGTTGATGTTTCCATGGAGACCCAATACACCGCTGCGCGCAGCGCGCTGCAGCACAGTGCCGTGAAACACCGTCCAAGTGTCGCCACGGTCGGCCGCTGGCGCAAGATGTCATCTGACAGCCGGCGAGGAACGACCTGAGGAGTGAGCCGTAGCTGCTTATGACGGACCACACAGAAGAACGCCTCACACTCCCGACAGGACAGTCCCCTGAAGTTCCTCATCGCCGGGCTGAGGGAGGGACGACTCGTAGTGTCTCAGTCAGGCAGAAGGTATTCCTGCATGCGGGCCGGATGCACCGAGCTTAGGGCCAGAGTCTCCAGTGGCTCCCCTGACCCCTAGCTGGTTTATGAAGTCCAGTTCGGCCACGGTGACTGGAAACAGGTCTGGAGGGACTTGTGGGCGGCCCCCAGGGCCGCAACGTCGCTGCTCGGCACTTCCTCCATGCTGGGGTTGATGGATTCCAGAATCCAGCAGGCAATGCCGAGTGCCCATCAGGAACGAGCAGCACAGGAGAATATGCTACGGGGTGTCCTCCTCCCAACAGACGGGGCAGAATGCAGCTCCGCAGTGATGATCAACACACTGATTGCACCCGGCTAGCCGAGAGGGCGCTTGCCTGACTGTAGCGCTACTGGGTAGAGCCGGTCCAGTTGCTGGCTGATAGCTGGTGGACATTCACAGTCGCTGATTGGTTGCCGCAAGTGGGAGTCTGCCACTTGTCAGCAGTCAGAACCAACTGGCTGGCCAGGCCTGGATGGTGCAGGCACTTGTTGCTGTTGGCAGCTTGGTGGCTTACTGTATGTCAATAAAGACTTGTACTTGGATGAGGTTACTCCCTTCCTTGGCAACAGAGTCCATTCTCCTGTTTCCCTCCAGGCCACAGGGGTGAGGGTAAGCTGGAGCACGCAAGCAAGCTAGGAGTGCACTCCGAACCTGTAACACAATAGAATTGCAATTGTAACAAAGACCTGCATGGTCAGCACACACCTGCAGTGACTGTCATCCCAAGTTGGTATGAATTGGAACAAAGTTGGGTCATGATAGCAGACGTAGCACAAGCTGTCGTGATATGCCATACGGCATACCGTAGGACTAGGTCGTAGGTTATAAATTTTAGGTTTAAGGCTGTAGGTTGTAGGTCAGGTTAGGTAAGGTTTGGTTAGAAAGACCCATTCTCGTGCATGGGGCAGCTTGTGCTACGTCTACCTTACCAATACCCAATTTGAATTCCCAAAATTGATGGCAAACAGGCTTTTTGTATAACAAGTGTGGTCAATTGATCTAGTCCCCGCTGCAATGTGAGGGTTACTGCTTTTCTACAATCACAATAATTGAATTCATATAGGTAGGTGTTTCATGTTCAGAAAATGATACAAAATATGACACAATTATAGCTGCAACTGGATAGTGGATACCAACCTCAACTAAAAGTTTCTGCAGCCTTATAACCTAACACATGACTAAATTGCCAAAATAAATCCCTTAGTACAATAGCTTGACTCTAAAATAACAGAACTTTTGCATGCAGACTCTGGAAACTGGAGGGTTTATGAAAAGAAACAAAAATAAACATTCACTAATATCAATATGTTGTTATAAATTTCATATGTAGCATAAGCGCCAATACTGCCTTCATTTACAATTTTGCTACTGTTTTCCACTCACAAACGCTGCCCTCCGTGGACAGCAGCAGCAGCAGTGAAACGTCACCCGTGGTGTGACATCATCACCCATGACGTAATGGAAATCCAGTTGTTACCAAGGCCCGATCAGCTGATTGGGGATCTCGTTTTTCTTTTAGAAAGCTCCTAAAAAATGAGACTGCCAAATAATAATGCGGTGAATGATATGTAACTTTGGTGCACACACACGGAAAATGTAGCATGACAAACTTAGGAATCTTTATTGTTTGGCCTGTGAAAGTATGATGTAAATAATAAGCTTTTGTGCAATGCTATTCTTGGGCTCCGCATAGCTACCGTAAATGGGGGATCGACAATGCGTTGAAGTGGGATTGAAATCGAGCAAAATCAGACTCCGTGTAATTCAAGCGTGTTTGCTTGTTTTGAAAGTTCGGGGCGACAGGATCGTGTGATAGCAATTGCAAACGTTGCCAGATCTATTGTGTCCATACTTCCCAGTGAAAAGGGCGCAACTGACACCATCACCGATTTCAAATAGTTTATCCCAGCCTGCGCCCTGCAGAGTCATTCCAAATAGTCTTTACGTGATGCATGTCATCCACGTGTCATCCCAATCGGTTGGTTTAAACATCAAAGTCCGTTCTAAACATATATTGGAGCACCTACCTTACGAAAATAGTGCGGATGTCTTCACACATTTATCACATTTCAGTACAATACTTGAGCACATCAAAACAGCCCATCCAAATAATTGCACACGCCCACTATAACTCTAGACAGCATAGTATAGGGACGGTCAGTGGGAGACACCAGCTAACACTGAGGCGTCGCGACAACAGGGAGCGTTCCACATACGGAAATAGTGCGGCATCTAACCAGCTTGAGGAAAAAAGGACACAAAGCATATACTAACCACCATGAAATGCCAAAGCGACTAAAACATAAGCTCACGCGTCTGGCTCTAAGAGAAGAAAATTAGCTACAATAGCATAAGCAGTGAGAAGCTTCTAAAAGTGGCGGTCAACAGGACATGCACGTTTATTGGAAGATGCGTACCTACCGAGTCATCTAACATGACCTCGGCTAGCCCGCGCGCTGGTAGTCACAGTGGCGCCTACTTAACGACAACCTGAGTATTCCTTCTCCGCCGTCTGCCGCCATTGTCGACAACAGGTAATTCTCTCCGATCAGTGAACAATGAACACAATCAACAACCCGCAATTCTGCACCACAGTGGCTTCCAAAACACGCACGTTTTCCACAGCAAAAGTAGCCTCAAGGAACGCCGGCTCGTAAAACGCACATGGCCCACCCGTCGCCTGGACACGGCGCCACGACATCGCTGCCTGTCTTCGTACGCCGCCGCCTCAGAAGGGCGAGTTCATGCCGAGCTTGGTGTCGAACTCGAGTCTCGCCCGCTTCTGGTAGCGAATGTTGTACTTGAACTCCTGCCGCTTCACCAGCTCCGTGACCAGCAGCTGCAGCAGCGGGCCGGCCAGTGCCGCCGCCGCCAGCCACGGCGCCGCCGCCACCGGCCAGGCCAGCTGCTGGCCGTACACGGCACAGTCGAGCAGCACAAACACCACTGCCAGGAACAGGGAGATAGCCACCGCCACGCTCCAGGATACGCTCGCGCACGGCCACCGCTGCCATAGCTGCGCGCGCCGGTGCACGAAGCCGGCCGAGCTGACGCAGGCGTACAGCACGATCAGCACGAGGAGGGCGTCCTGGATGGGCCGCAGCTCGGTCGGCGGGTACACGTAGTGACACGACTCGGACGGGCACACCGAGTGCAGACTGAGGCCGAAGAAGGCGAGCGCGGCCAGCAGCGAGGGCAGCAGGCGCAGGCCGTAGCACCAGCCGGCGTAGACCAGATGCGGCCAGGTGACGGCCGACTGACACCGGTCCTGGGCCTCGTCCATGATCCGTCTGTCCACGGGCGCGGCCAGCAGTGCGCCAGACAGCACCGGCAGCTGGAGCGAGAGACAGGTGAACGGTCAGGCGAAGGAAGGGTACAGGAGAGGACAAGGGACAGCTAGTGCCAGCCTACACTGGACACAAAACGAGGGCTATGCTTAGGCGCACACTGCGGAAATTAGAGTAGTTAAAGCGCTAAACGCTTAAATGGATGATGCTTCACGTACTTCAGCAATCGGCAATTAATCCTTTCACTGCTTTTCCCGCGGTAATTTGTACCGGCAGCTAAAAAAATCGAAGTTACAATAACAATCGAGCAAGTATTCCACAAACGGGTAGTTTCGGACGGAGCTGCCGATCCCTGACACTCCTCAGATGACCCATATCCTCCTTCCTCCCTCTCGTCCAACTGACCTGCACACAGGTGATCCAGAGCAGGTGTCCGGCCGGCAGCGGCGGCGGCAGCAGCAGCACCGAGCTCAGAACTGCCAGCGCCGCCAGGGTGATGGCCTGGCACGCCCAGAAAGTCACGGCCGTGCGCAGCCGCTGCACCAGGTGCCGCGCCTCCAGCACCAGCTGCGTCAGCGAGACGGCGTCATCGCGGCGCAGCGTCAGCGCGCAGGGCAGCGAGTCGAGCCGCTCGGCCAGCGCCACCGGGCCGTCGGTGGACAGGGACGGCGGCAGCAGCGGCTGGCGGCCGGCCTCGCCGTCGGCGCCGTCACCCTGCCCGCCGCCGGCGGCGGTGGTGTCGGCTCCGGTGGCGGTGTGGGGGTCACCAGAGGGACAGCCCGGCTCCGGCATCATGGAGCAGAGCTGCGGGTGCAGCGGACGGACCGCCAGCGCGGCGTCCGCCTGCAGGAAGACGCCGGCGTTCTGCGGACTGCCCGAGGAGCCGAGCACACACACCACCTCTCCGTACTCCTGCATTATCTGAAATACCGGACAGGGCGCCGCACGGACGGCAGGGGTCGGTCAGATGAGCTGGAATGGCGATACCGGTTGCGAACGGACAGTCAGACAGAAAGTGGTACTCATCAGAGCTTCTATTACAGTTTAAAAGTAAAACAACTTCATGAGTACGATTTACGATAGCTAATATTCCACTCAACAACCGAAATACTAGCCCTGTATGAACATATAAAATTACTAAAGCTAACAAGTCAAATCTCGTCACCCCTCCTTTGCTGACCTGGAGCATGGCGCGCGTGGTGGCCGGCGTGCAGTCAGTGAACAGAGACACCTGCAGCGGCACGTTGTCCACGTGCTCCAGGTGCGGCCGGATCTGCGCGATCCCCTTCGGCAGCTTGGCGCGGTTACTCATGTCAAAGTTGACCGGGTCCGACTGATCGCTGCTGTCGGTGATCCGACTGGCCGAGCGGGAGGCGGCCGGCGACACGGGCTCCTCCAGCAGTTCGACCGAGCCCACCGATCCCCCCGGCTCCGTGGCCGGGCACACGCACTCGCTCTGCACGCGGATACGGCCGTCCGCCTGATCCAACCCGTCGCCCGCGCCGCCGCCGGCCGGGCAGCACTCCTCCTCCTCACTATCGGCTGACTGGTCCACGTCCAAGTTTATGACGGAGGGCGCCGACACACTCAGCGGTCGCAGCCGCTCCAGTGTGCGGCCAGCGGCGGCGCGCGAGTCGGCGCTATCGTTGGAGGCCAGGCGCCGGACGGAGGGGTGCTGAACCATGTCCCCGGTGGGCGCACACGAGCCGTGGTGTGAGCCGTCGTCCAGCAGGGAGATGTGGCAGTTCCAGCCCGACTCCAGGCCCATCTTCTCGCTGAAGACGCGCGATCGTAACTCGTTCTCCTTGCTGAAGTGGACGAAGCGGATGCAGGCCTTCTCCAGGTGGTCAATGAGTCGCACCATGTCGGCTAGCGCTTGGTACTGCATCGTCACCATGCCGGTGAAGATCTGGTTACACTGCACCTGAATCAGGCCCTCTGTGGAGTCCACGTCCACCACTTCAGAGCCGTAGAGTGAATCGGTGGACATGTACTGAGGATGGACCGGCTTGTCAGGCCACGTGTCCAGTGACAGGCCGTGGCCGGGCAGCGGCGAGCGCGCCGCCCGGTAGATGTGACCCGACTGCTCGGGTAACTCCAGGTAGCGCTCGCTGAGCTCCACGGCCACACGGGAGGTGAGCGGTCGGTAGGCGAACGCTGAGCAATACATGGTGACCGAGTGTCGGTGGTAGAAGTCGAGGATGCGGCGCCGGTCCGCCTCTGAGAGAGGAATGACGTCGGTGCCGTCCCAGAAGTCGGAGCACGAGTCGAGCACCAGGTCGGCAGTTCCCTGGCTTACCAGCTGCAGCGAGTTAGTATAGAGCTCTCGCAGAATCACAGAGTTCATGTGCGGGTACGGGAAGCGGATCTTGCTGAAGCTGAAGGCGCGTGTCAGCTTGTTGCGTCGCACCGGGTCCAGCTTCAGGTGCTTGTAGCAGGCCATCTGCGACTCGAGCTGGAAGGCGTCGGCGGCCCGCTTACTGAACCCGATCTGCCGGGCCAGCTGGCAGAGACAGCGCCGCGCCGGCACCGGCACCAGGTCGGCCTCGCCGTGCGCCAGACACACCATATGCCGACAGAAGCGCCAGTAGTCGGCCAGCGTCTGGTCACTGCAGGTGTTGACCAGCACGGCCAGACCGATCGGCTTCAGGCGCGACAGCGAGTCGCGCCAGTGCGGGTCGTCGAACTGGATCGACCACGGCTCGGCCGGGTTGTCGCGGGTGAGATCGAGCACGTCCAGAGCGGCGTCCGACACCACCGGGTCGATGTCGGCGTCCGAGACATCGCTGGCACCGTCCGAGGCAGCCGCCGGCTCGTCGCCGCCCCCGCTCTTCAGACGCACCGTTACCACCTTCTCAGCGGTCGGGTTCGGCCAGCTCAGCACGCCTTTCTTGTCGACACAGCAGAGCGAGGTGAGAGCTCCCAGCGTGTACAGCAGACTGGCCGTGTGCGGCAGGCTGTCGCACCGACCGCTCGCCGTGTCGCGCAGCACGGGCCACACGTGCCGCCAGTGCGCCGCCACGTGCTCGTGCACGCTCGTCTCGTCCAGAACGTCCAGCTGGCGGCGGTCGTCGGGTCGTGGCTGTCGCATCTCGCGCGCCAGAGCCACCAGACGCGCCTGAGCCAGCCAGGCGGCCGGTACCAGCACCAGACTGCACGGCAGTGGCAGCACCGGCAGCAGACAGCCGCAGATGCGCTGCAGCAGCAGCCGGATGTGCGCCGACAGGCCGACCACCGTCTCGGGCAGCAGCCAGAGCTGCAGCGGCACCGCCACCAGCACAGCGGAGACCAGCGCGGTCGGCAGCGCCGCCATCAGGACGGCCGCCAGCAGACGCTCCAGTTCGCGGCGCGGCGGCGGCGCCGGCCGCTCCTCGGCCGACAGCGCCAGCTGCAGCGACTCCAGGTACGGTGAGGAGAGCACGCGGAACCGGCGGTTGGGCAGCGCCGACACCAGGCGCGGGTGCGTCAGCTTCTCGTCACTGCGCTGTCCGGCGCCGGGGACGTACTGCTCCAGACGGAGCAGGCGCAGCGGCGGCTCGTCAGAGACCGACTCGACGTCTGCCAGCGCGGCCTCGCCGGGTCGCAGCACCACCAGGTCGCCGCGGGTCAGCAGCGAGGCCGGCAGGTTCACCAGCCGGCCGTCGCGGTACGTCCACTGCAGGCCGATACAGGGAGACGGCGGCGCGTGCAGGTGCGGGTACTCGGCCTCCGTCCAGCCGCCCGACTCTGCCGCGGCCTCCGCCGCGCGGCCCAGCCGCTCCGCCAGCCGGCCGGCCTTGGCCGCCAGCTCGCCGTCGGCCAGCGCGCGCTGCCACACGGACAGGGCGGCGTTGGCGGCGGCGAGCGCCAGCACCAGCGCGGCGGCCACCGCCTCGCTAGCACCGCCGTCCTCGGCCAGCGCGGCGCTGGTCACCAGCGCGACGGCGACCAGCGCCGAGAGCACCAGCACCGGCCAGGAGAACCAGACGCGCCGCTGGAGGGCGGCGGTGGCCAGCCAGCCGCGACGCTGGCCGCGCCGCCGCTCCTCCAGCGCCGACACCATGTCGTCCCGCAGTCGGCGCAGCGCCTCGGCCGTGCTGAGGCCATCGCGCGCACTGCCGCCGCCGTTCAGTTGTTGATGAACAGACGCCATCCGATCCAGGCCGAGTACGCGAACGCGATCAGCATGGGCACCGTGAGCGGCAGCACCAGCAGGTAGTAGCCGAGCGGGCCGACCAGTTCCATACAGCAGGAGGTGGGCTGCCGCCAGACGCGGGGCACTGCGCTCAAACAGCTATTTCACAGACCTGGCAAAACACAGATGCAGCATTTAATAAGCACGCTACCATACTATGAGCAATAGAAATGTTTTGCGTTAGCAAAAAAAGGTAGGTACTAGAAAACGAAAATCAAATTATTTAATTTTTAATTGTTTGGATTTGGGATAGCAAGGCATGGTTGTAGACATTATTATCACCAGTATAACGCCTTTTGGGGCGACTAACGGAGCGAGCGAGAGGGTGGGCCTTGCACGTGCGAAATTGCGAGAGGGTACCTCCAACTGACTTGTGCACGGCACCCTACTAACCGGTCTCTAGAGATGTGCCAAATTTGGGCACAATCGGCCCAGCCGTTCTCAAGATCTGGAAGCGGCACCCTGCACGTGCGCACGTGCAAAATGGGTCCCAACTGACTTGTGCACGGCACCCTACTATCCGGTCCCTAACTGTGTACCAAATTTGAGAGCAACCGGTCGAGCCGTTCTCGAGATCTGGAAATGACCCCAGCACGTGCGCACGTGCAGCAGCACCCCAACTCTGGCATATGGATATGCAGTGCCTAGTGGGTGCCTACTAGTGGTGCCAATTTCATGAAATTTCAATTCCAATTCCGATCCAATTCCAAGAAATTGCCAAGTAAATTTCCAATTTTGTCCAAAGCGGGGGCTATTCCAATTTTTAACGATTTTGGCATTTTTTGCGTAAATTTTAAAAGTGTTTAAAAGCGTTTTAAAGGCCTCCGTTTTAAAATTTAAAATTTTAAAGGCCTTGTGTTCCGATTAATTTCCAAAAAATGTTAAGAATTCCGTCCAAATTCCAAATTGGAATTGGACAAAAATTGGAATTCCAAGAAAAGAAATTCCGATTGGCACCAATAGTGCCTACCTACATGCCAACTTTCAGCGCAATCGGCCAAGTAGTTACCGAAATATTGCAACAATTGCAAAACTGACACCTCTTCGTTTTGCACGTGGCACGTGCATAAGGGGTCACCCACATGCATCGGGAATAGTCCAATACTTGGTAGAAGGAATGATGCTACCCTATAAAAATTACCGCGTGTAAATCGGTCAAGTGGTTGCTGAGATATAAGCCTCGCAAAAGCGTCCGCACGGCCGGCCGCTCATACTCAGAAATTTCCGTTAATAAGGAAAGACTTCGCTCGCTTCGCTCGCTTAATAATTGATGTGGAAAGTGAAATCTGGAATCGTCTGCACATTATTGATCACTTTCACATAAATTTTGAAAAATTACTTAAAACTTTATTTATGTGTATCTAGCAGAAAATGCATCTGTTTATGCAACCCATGAGAGCCAACCAACCAGTTCATTGTTGTCTGTTCAGTTTTGTAAGCACTGATTATCATTGTCATGCTGGTGCCTTGAAAAGTTCACTTAAACAACTGTTTTACCTATTATGGGAGACATTTAGAAGCAGACCATTGAAGGTGTACACTGTACATAGGTAACAAATCAGATCTTTCAAAGGCCGCGATTGTAAAGACAGAGTGCAAGTTAAACCCTCGCCGGCACAGGGGGGGGGGGGTTGATGCAACCCCCCCCTAAGGTTTTTCGCGAATAACTCGCGTAAAAAGCGGCCGATCGCGACGAAACTTTCAGTACCCTCGCATTGATCAATTTTACACCTACCCTGAAAATTTCATGACCCTGACCCAAATGACTTTTGACCTGTGACCTCTTTTCCGAGACCATGTTTGGCCGGAATCGCGATTTGGCGTATTTCTGCTCGCATTAGCCGCGCGTTTGCAAGCTTTTCGTGGTTTCAAACGTTCAAACATGTGATTTGATGTTGCTCCCATACATTAGGGTGGGTTTCAAGGTCACCTGAAGGTCAGGTCAAGTCATTGACCTTTGGTGACCTCGGGTGACCTCGGTTCACTTTTTCGAGTTTAACATGTTTCTAGGCTAGTTTTTGGAGCTGAATTCGAATTTAGCAACCATTTGAACATTTACGAAGTAGTTTTGGTGCCTTCGTAACATGTTACGAAGCTGTCAGAGGCGGTTGACACGTATTACGAATACCCGTCACAACCCCTAACGGTTGACCTGACCTGACCTGACCCGACCTGGTCTAAATGCTTAAAGACATCATCTCTGATCAAAACTAACACGATATTCGTGATCAGCACCCCGGAAAACCACATAGCAGCCACACTTTACGACTTTCTAACAGGTCCCAATTTTCCCGTTTTTCGGGTCATTGACCTGACCTGGAAGGTCACCCGATGACCTAGGACCTTAAAATTGGGTATCATCGGCTTCCTCTCGTGACGGGCAACACGCTCGTTTTTTCCGCGAAGCTCTAGCTCGATCAGGGGCCAAATGCGAGGGGGGGTCGTACCAACACCCCCCTTGTGCCGTCGAAGGACGCAAAATGGCCTGTGCCGGCGAGGGTTAAGATTAACCCTCGCCCGTATTGGTGTTTTTCCAGCCGCCAACGTATAAGGAGGGAGGGTCCGTTGGACTCCCCCCTTGCCGTTTCGCCCCTGATTGCGCTAGTTTCGCGGAAAAAACGAGCGTGTTGCCCGTGACGAGAGGAAGCCGATGATAACCAATTTTAAGGTCCTAGGTCATTGGTTGACCTTCCAGGTCAGGTCAATGACCCAAAAGTCGGGAAAATCGGGACCTCTTACTCATCTTAAAACGTCGAAAAGTGTGGCTGCTATGAGTTTTTTCGGGGTGCTGATCACGAATATTATGTTAATTTTGAATTTTGATCACAGATGATGTCTTCATGCATTTAGGCCAGGTCAGGTCAGGTCAGGTCAGGTCAGGTCAGGTCAACCAGTAGGGTCCTGCCAGGTATTCGTAGTAGGTGTCAACCACCTCTGACAGCTTCGTAACATGTTACAAAGGCGCCAAAACTACTTCATAAATGTTCATATGGTTGCTAAATTCGAATTCAGCTCCAAAAACTAGCCTAGAAATATGTAACTTGAAAAAAGAACTGAGGTTATCAAAGGTCAATGACCTGACCTGACCTTCAGGTGACCTTAACACTCACCCTAATGCATGGGGGCAACATCCTATCATATGTTTGAACTTTGAACACTTGAAACCACGAAAAGACTGCAAACGCGCGGCTAATGCGAGCCGACATACGCAGAATCGCGATTCCGGCCAAACATGGTCTCAAATAGTAGGTCACAGGTCAAAGGTCATTTGGGTTAGGGTCATGAAATGTTCAGGGTAGGTGTAAAATTGATTAACGCGAGGGTACTGAAAGTTTAGTCGCGATCGGCCGCTTTTTACATGAGTTATTTGCAAAAAAAAAAAAACGAAGGGGGTCCGTTCGAACTGAGGTTGTTGCCCAGTATTTTACTTGATGTGATATTTATTATCTTTACCCCATCAGTAGTACAGTTTGTAAGATTTATATGTATGCATGATATATGTATGATGTATCTGGAATTTGCTGTCTTTTAGCAGCTTCCAATCCACCTTATTTTATGTAGAGGTATTGAAAACTTTCCTTTTCACCTTCACTTAATGACATTCTTGAGATGCAGTGTACAGCACTGGAACTCCCTTATGCTGCAAGGTGTGACCAAAGCTGACTGTTGACAGCTTCAAGAACAGGCCAGACCAGCACTGGGCAACAACCATTCCTGAGTAATTTGTCTTGATTTGCATGGATCATGTACATCACAGGATCTAGCATGTAGTTATAGAAATGTAACCATCGGCTGTCTCAATTGAAACTATGTTTTCATATAAAAGCTAATTGTACAATGAGAAACACACCCATGGCACCCATACTCTGCTCTATCGTATTACAAGAAAGATTGAAGTAACCTGGCACATTGACTTCTCATGATTGATTCTTCCTTGTCTATATTACCTGGCTCCCTCAGCAAGTCTCCACCCAGGAAGCCTGAAGCCAAATAGGTGAGTTAACACTGGCAGATCCAGTGACAGTGAGGCCTGAGGGTGTTTCAATTTGGGGCAATTGCCCTGGCCCATCTTGGCATCTTGAGTCCTGCAGGCTGTGACACTCAAAATGTATGAAATGTTGGCACTTTTGTGAGTTTCACATATAGGAAGAAAACTGAACAAATTTTTTAGGTTTTTTCTTCAAATGCATTGCAAAGCACTGGCTTACTGCCAAACGAGAAGTTTTTAAAGATCGGATAATCTTTTTGTGGATAATAGGAATGCCCCCATTGCAAGCTTTTGAGGATTAACCAATATGAATCAGTCTATATATTCTGCCCGTATGTAAATACAACTGAAAATTTCATAGGCAGTCATTTGAAATAAAAACCACCTCAACCTAGCCTCAGCCTGGAAAAGTACAAGTAAAGTAAAAGTATTTATATACAATGTGGAAAAGTACTATTCATGACTACAGGAATCTATAAGGCTATAGAACTCTAAATCAGGCATTTTAGGCATCAGTACCTAGACATTTTGAAAAGAAAATGCCCAAGGCGGAAAATGCCTACCTACTGATCCCAATCCCTGAGAGGCGGTGCTACCACTACTCGTGCTTTGTTGTAGAGAATCAGAATTTCCAGTAATTCTGCATATTTTACGAAAGATATGTGTTACAGATAGCTGATTTTATTTGTTAATTTAAGCATAAAAATGGACAAATAAAAAAAAACAAAGCGATAAACACACCAATATCTACATTCACTTTGACGCGCCGATTCTGCCGCAACTCCGTTTTTTTCAAGGTTTGTTTTTTGTTTTTTATTTACGTCTTAAAACACAGCTTTTTTCATTGGCGGGAAAAACGAAAACGGACGTCTCGCTCATAACAGCGAAAAGGGTAAAAAGAGATAAGCTGAAAGTGAAACCATTACGTTATTACGAATAGATGGTGCTCTATGAAATAAAGAAGAGAAGAGAAGCATAGACACAGTTCAACAGCTCACCCCCTGTCCTATAATATATATTAACATATGGTTTCCCGTGTGTAAATGGTTTTAACGCACGACGTGGATGGATTGGAGCACGAGTGTGTTAATGCACGAGTGAAACGAGTGCATTAACGCACGAGTGCTCCATTCCATCCACGAGTACTAATTAATACATGCTTAACGGTGCGAATTAAAATTAAAATTAATCTTAGTCAATGACATTAAAAGGGCCTTTTATGGAAATTCTTAGAAGAAAGTCAATGACCCTTCCGAAAAACTTCATTCGAGAAATTCATCACTGCACGAGCGTGCACCAATTTAAATTGGTGCACGGCTACCTTCGAATTAACGCACGGTTAATCTCCAGTGAACGCACCGTAAAGTATGTATTAATTGTATTTTACGATTCTTCCGTTTCGAGCGTTCTCAATATCGTAACATCAACATCAACAAACACTCACATAACTGTACCTTAGTGCAACGGTATTTTCCAGCACTGTGTAGGACCAGGGTATATTGAGTGTGTAGGACTGCCGCGGCAGGGACAGAAGGGTGGCAGTCGATGGTGTTGGCGCAGTGCGCGTTGGCGCTCGGCGGACGAGTCACCCGGTCAGCACTCCAAACAGGGGCAGTTCGCTGACGGACGTCATCAGGTGACCACAGGCTGCCACCGTCTAGGCGTCTTCCGACTGCAGCTATTGCCTATTGGCAGATAGGTACTGACAGCAACTACTACCAGATCCGACAGCAGCTAACATCAGATATTGACAGCAGCTGCCAATAGATACTTACAGCATTTACCACCAGATACCAACAGCAGCTGCCACAATTCCATCTGTCCACACCTCCCGGCAGTCGGCACACCAGTGACGACATGCGGTCGCAAACGGCCTCATTGCCTGCAATCCCATCAGGTAAGCAAATCGGAAACAGCCTCCAAACGACTCATCGGCGAGTGAAATAATAAAATGACCCACGCCCGAGTGGCGGTCTCAGCTAGCTCCCTCAAACATTTATAAGAAGGTATAAAAAATTGCCGAAAAACTTCTTCTCATTACCTTTTATGATCTAACGCCATATGGGAAAGATGCTATATATGATGCTGAGAATAGTTAGGTACCTACTACCCGGCTTTTGTACGTGTGTTCAAACCAGGAGACACTTCGCCGGCAGACCCATGCATAATTATATATACATATAATGTATACATATACCTTCCACTACATGAAGAATCCTCTATGTGTTCGCATCGAAACCTATCTTCTGCTTTACCTGACCTTATAAGGTAACATAGCATAGCACCACTAAAACGTCTTTTGGAACGATAAACGAGCGAGCGCTCCACTGCCCCGCACTCGCAGTTTGCAGGCATGCAAAGTGTGACCTCAAACTATGTATGCGGAGCGCCCTACGAAACGGTGAATGAGATGTAGAGTAAACACATAAAAGTCAAAAATGCGTCTACCGGTGGATGCCGACCGAGATGCAAAGGTTCAGCGCGATCGGCCCGGCAGTGTACCGAGAGTAGTCCGATACTTGATAGAAGGGACGGGGCTATCCCTAATCCCACAAAAAGACCGCAAATCAATCCGCCTAGTGGCTACTGGCTGTTAAGAAGGTAAGCCAAGCAAATGTAACCGGGGCAGAGTTGACCTCTTTGACTTGACACGTTGGTCGCCCATAACCGAAGGTTTGTTGTCAATAGTTAAAACACTTCGTTAGAATTGCGTTTTTCCATAGGCGTAGGAACGTTTTCGAAAGTGGGGGGGCCAGGCTCCCAGAGGCCTAAAACCCAACCTACCCCCAAAATCCAATTTCTCCTCGGATTTCGGCCACTTTGTTTTCGCAAACATGCATAGAGGTAAAAAAAAAAAAAAATCGAGACAAAATAAGAATGTTTAAAAGTTCAGGGAGACTACCGCCCAGAAACTCATCCTGATAGACGCGTCCCCCTGTCCTTCGCAGCCGTTGGCACCTATGCAAATTACAGAGGCATCCAGAATTTTTTTATTACGAGCGAGTGTGAAACGTGCAAAGCGAGTCTTTTTAATATATACCTATAAAAATCAGAATGAACTGCGCAGCTAGGCTCAGGCCTGTAATGTTTTTACCTAAGAGGTTTATATATCAGCGACCTCTGCAAATGGGCTGATTGACTTATTAGAAGCCGGTGTGGGACCTTTAGAAGCCGGTTTGGGCCCTCAGAGACCAGTACAGGGCCTGCAAAGGGCAGTTTGAGACCTTTAGAGGCCGACTTCAGGGGCGTAGGCAGGGGGGGGCCACTGGGCCATGGCCCCCCCCTTGGGCGCCGAAGGCGCCCTTTGCGATTGGAGGGCGCCGAAGGCGCCCTCCAATCGCAAATGCAATTGTGATATAATCGAATCGAAAAACAATCGCGACTGGAGGGCGCCCTCCAATCGCGAATGTGTTTACAGGGAAAATACGGATGGAGGGCGCCTTCGGAGGACGCCCATTCCAAATACGCCCTCCAAATACGGTTGGAGGGCTCCCTCGGGCGCCCTCCAACCACATTTGTAGGCTGTAGCTCTCTAAGCGTAACGGTGGTCGCCTATGTAAGCCGCTGTCCCGTAAATAAGCGCCCTCTCACCCGAAGGCGCCATCCTGTAGGTCGCCACCCTGCTACATATTGCCGCCCTTCTGCTGATCGGCGTCCTCATAATTATTGGCGCTCTCCTACCTATTGCGCCCTCATGTGAAATTTTCAAGGCCGCCTTTCTCCTTTTTGGCACCCTATTGTTCAGTGCCGCCCTCCTACCTATTGGTTCCCTAGTCCTTCCTGTTGAATGTTAATCGGGGCCCTTCTCTTATTGGCGCCCTCGTGTTGATCGCCGCCCTCCTAACCACTGGCACCCTCCTGTTGATCACCGCCCTCCTATCCACTGGTACCTTCCTGTTGACCAGCGCCCTCCGCACAGACGCCCTCCTGTTCGTGTCATCCTCTTGAGCAAAGGCGCCCTCCTCACCATTGCCACCCCCATTTTAATCGTCACCCTTCCGCTCATTAACGACTCCCAGTTGATGACCGCCCTCCCACCTATTGGCGACCTCTTGTTGATCGCCACCCTCCTATTGGTGCTCTCCTGTTCCTCGCCACCCTCTTACCTGGTGGCGCCCTCCTGTTGATTGTTGATCGGGGCCCTCCTACCTATTGGTGCCCTCCTGTTGATCGCTGCCCTTCTATCCATTGGCGCCCTCCTGCTGCTCGCCAACTTCCTACCTATCGGTGCCCTACTATCGAAACTCGGGATGTTGATCGGGGCTCTCCTACCTATTAGCGCCCTCCTGTGGATCGCAGCCCTTCTACCTATTGGCAACATCCGTTGATCGCTGCCCTCTTATCATTTATTTACTCCTTTGGCATGTTTTTCAACTTAGTCGTTCTATTGCACATAGTTGATGTCTTGCCTGTGAAAACTGCCACAAATGAACGTGCATTCAGCACAATGAATGAAGTACCTATACCTACCAAAACTATCTACGCTCTACGATGCATAAAACACGTCTTTGGTCTTAACGGATTGATCCTACTTTACGTGCATCATGGTATCTATATGGATTACGATTAAGTATTGTCAACAGGTTCGGCCGCAACAGCAGGCATCTGAAGTTTCGGTGATTGAAACTGGTTATGTGGGTACACTGTATGCATCTGTGAGAAGGCTATGAAGGCTGGTCTGATGTAATTTGGATGATGTTTACGCATCTCGCGCTCCGGTATCAATCCGATACGGTGATCTGGTGCGTAGATATGCCACCGCCAATAAACTTTTATACATCGACACCCATGAGCCAAGCTTTCTATACAGTTTGTTTGTGTGGCAGCGGCCCGACCAAACCTTAGGTATTTTTTACACCTTCAAATTTGGTAAAAGAGCGAGAGGAGCTTTGAACGGTGATCGTATAAAAGGCGTGCCTAAAAAGCGGAGGAAAAGGTTGTTTTCAAAAATTTCGCGCGCCTTCGGCGCAGCATTTCAAGAACACTTGACCTTTTGTGACCTGGAGTATAAAGAATACACACGATGCAAAATCAATGCAGCACGACCTATACGAGGTTACGCAAAAAAAAAAAAACTGGTGGCATGGTAAAAAACGCCTCCCAACCCCCCAACCCCCACCCCGCTGAGCGATTTTTTTATCTCGCGACCGTATGGCGCCCTCCTTGGGTGAGGTGGCGCCCTCCAAACCCT